ATAGTTTGAGTTTACAAAAGACAGGGGTTACACTTACCATCAAACGCTGCAGAATTCTATGTAATGATAGGGATCCTCTTACCCTTTTGGAGAAGTCTGAAGTTTATATAGTCCCATTACAGCAAGCACAAACAGGAACAAAAATCTTTTACAAAGATGCCATAACTAGAAAGTGTATCAACACCTGAAGGATCAATATACCTAAGCCAAATTAGAATTCTAACATGTTTTAATGATGTTTTGTGGAGCAATGCATAAATTATTAAACTTTAAAAATTTTAATTTGAAAGTCTGGGTAATACACTGAAGATTTGTAAGTGTATAAGCAACTGTATTAATTTACATTTAATGTGTTACTGTTCATAAAGAACTTCTGAATCTTATTTTTTTCTTGTTAGAAGAGTCTAAAAATAAGAAAGAAAAGTAAGGATAGTAAAGAAACAGTATCTTTGCTTTTTTTAATCTCCTTTGGGAATTTTTGTATTCATTAATATTTTGCTAGATGCAAGATGTTAAAAATTTCACTATATTAATTAACATTCTCATGATACTATGTTATAGTAATTTAATGTGTTATAATTAGGAAATTATAATATAATTTAATAATTAATTTACAATATATTTTTTCTATTATTTGTCTAATCATTAATAATTTAAAAGATGCACATATATATAAATATAAAAAATATGCTATTTTATTTACCTAAAATGTTTTGTATAAAGTTGTTTAAAGTTTTTATACAACTTGTATGAAGTTAATGTATTATAGCATCTTATAATTTTATGCAGGGTATTTAAAAATGCATATAATTCAAATTAAATACAATTTAAAAATATATAATGATATATGCTGCATTAAATATCCAGCATAAAATTATCAGTTCTAATAATAACTTTGAATCTCAATAAGGAGATAATGAAATAACTTAAGTTTCACAGTTTTAACTTCATATTAAATTAATATATTTCTGTGGGCCAAATTATTGAAGCAGTTAAGGCATCAGCTACCACTCTGGGGTATCCAGAATTGAATCCAAGTGTTAAAAACCCAATAAATTTTGTAGTGGTGATCTGTCCCAGATATGTCAAGCCACCTTATTGTGGGTTTGATTGGTCTCAAAACAGGATATTTATTAGTGTCCACAGGGTGGAAGGAGTCAAAATATATATTTAATAAATTTTTATATTTTAAATTTCTTTAATTTAAATTTAAAAATTTTAGAAAATTGAATATAATTCAAATTAAATACAACTTAAAATTGTATTTAATGATATATGCTGCATTTCATCACTGAATAATATTCTAAGACAGTCCTCTACTTTTGTACCTAATTGGTTCCTAAAGTGTGTACGAAAGTTGAAATGTATGAAAGTAGAGCAATGTACAAAAATATCAAAAAGGATTTTCAAAATATCTATTTTTTTATTGATTAATATCTGGTGTTCTCTTTATAAATTTGCCAAGAGATAATTGAATTGTACTCCTCTTTTTCTTTTCTCGATAAAGCTTTCTGTAACATGCTGTGCCTTTTTCTATTGCCCTTTGTACATGAGATATATATTCTTGATCATATGGAGGTTATGAGACTGGTTTCTTTTTGTCCATAACAACTCTGCTGTTTTTTGTTTTTCACTCATGTTTATGAATTAATAAGGGCAAATTTTTTCACCAAAACAGCAATGTACTGTACATAAAGCAATAGCACACATAAACCGACAAGACAACTTATCGACACAAATGCTAACTCAAGACGTCCCTGCTCAAGACCAAACCTGCGATGTTGAAAATGGACACCATTAATGTCGGAGAGGTGAGGAGGGACTAGAGACTAATAGTTCACGAGAAGGGAAGAATTATTACACGAAAGTATGCATGTTTTGCCATATATATTGATAAAAATTGAAAGTACAAAATAGCAAATTGTACGAAAGTAGAGGACCACCTTAAATTTATTTAAGTTGACATTTCTTTAAAGATAAATTAAGTTTTCCTATAATGCATTGAATTGCACACCAGAACTATATATATATAATCTATCACAAATATTCATTTTATTTTATAAATGGTTTTAAAAATTGTTTTTATATAATGTAATAAAATTAATCAAAAAATTGCTAAACCGATTTGCAAGTAATATTTTAAAATAATTTTATTTAATTATTAACACATGTAATTAATTTAAATCAATTCTTAACCCGTAGGAAAAGTCAAGAGCCACCAATATACAGTAGAAGATTCGGAGGAGCTCCGAGGATACAAAAATTAAGAATTTGTAATTTAAATATTCTACAGTAATATCCCAGGTCTCAAGCCACAAAATTGGAAAAAAATAAAATAAAGAAATTTTGCCATTGAACAGTTTATAAATATTTCTATAGCCGCAATTAAACACTATTAATTTATGACGTCATAAAATCATATAAAGCTTTAAAATATTTGTGCTAGTGCAAAAATTTTTTAAACATTTAAATCTAAAAACTTATTTATAATTCAAAATTAAATACAGAAATTTAATTTACACGCAGTAAAATTATATCACGGTAATATAATATTAACAGCAATACACGAATGCTTGCAGGAAATGCAGACATTCGGGAACCAAAACGTTAAAAAACAAATAAACACGCTGCATATATAAGGAAATAAATAAATAAAACACATGCATCAATTTATAAATTAATCAATTACATTTAATTCAAAATACGTCATTTATAAAAAAAAAATAATCACTTACGTTTTCTCGTCGATCGGTTCATTCACGTGGAAACAATTACAATTAAATAGTATAAAAGAGAATAAAAACGTAAGGGGTAATTTTCCCATTTTCATTTTTTTTTAAGAATGATTCCGAAATTAGCGATGCATCGAAGTATTATCATCGACGGGATAATTCTATGAAGGAAATATTCATCTCGGATCGAGTTTGACGTCAACTGCAGCTAGCACGCCCCGACAACTTCTGCCGGATCCTCTTTTTATTTATTTATTTTTATTATTTTTTCTTCCTTCGTTTCTTTATATCGTGTTCATCCCTCTAGATATATAAGTGTTGTGATTATACATCGAAAAAACGCTAATATCGATTTATTTTTGATAGATGACGAGTTCAAAATTATCAAACTAAAAATAATATAATTGATTCTTCCGTCGTAACTAGTATATATAGATGCGCTCTATATATATGTTGAACGTGGAAATATATTTATGTCTTTGTTATAATTTAAAGTTTAATTTAATTCAATTTTTTTTTAATTTAATTAATATTAATTTATGGTTTTTATATTTTAAAATGTTTATACAGTATATATTCAAAAATTCGAATAGTAAGTTCTTAATTACGCCACTAGGGGATTGTAAATGTAACGGTATTTGGAAGAAAAGTATTTGAAATGCAGTTTATTTATGATTTGCTAATACTTTATTTTTATACATTTTAATAAAATACTATTTGTTATTACGCATTATTATTTAATATTACACATATGAATAATGGAAAATTAACATTAATTTTTTTAAACATTTTGTTGACTCTGCCCTATAGGCATTATGAGGGTCTTTTAAATTATCACCGGACGACTCATTGTGGGCCTAGCTATTATGGCTAGGCCCACAATAGGACGGCCGGACGATGAGAGGCGGGTCCGATATATCCTCCGCTACACTCCGCCCATAGAAAATATCTGGAAACTTCCAGGTATTTTCCATATGCTATCCGATTGTTTTATGGGGAAAGGCTCTCATACCGCCTACAGAACAGAAAGAAAAAAATATACATATTAGGGTCGATTGAGTGATAAGAACCGAACAAGTTTTGTATGACAGTTCAGTAGCGCGTTATACTTTGTGTGTGTGTGTGTGTTTCCAACCCTTGGACACCAAGAGGGTCTTTTAGCAATTTTAGAAAGCCCATTATGGATTCCGGGTAGGCTACTACCTTGACCACTCGGCCATCGTTCCTTTATACCTTCGTGGTGTCCAGATGAATTTAAATTAGGAGCCTTATGTATAGCGCTGACTTCGTATATTTTTTCGGAGTAATATTTGAGGAGAAATATTTTCTTATAAAAGATTGGTTTCCCTTGTTGGTGAGAACCCATAGGTTAACACCTAAATAAAGGACACTTTTCCATAGAATGTCCTCTCGCAAGTATCTCCTGGCAGATCGCCCATGTGTTACGTCGCGTACTCAAAAACAATCAACCAATTCGCTGACATCTCTCATTTCTGCAATCTAAATTGATTCCAAATAGCCGCCATTTCTGAACTATTTTCGGACCGAAGAAGGAAACCAGAGTAAACTTTCAGCCAGTCACAACTACCCTTCGCATACGAAACTTTTTTACGAGCGAAAAATCTTAACTCGTTATCTAAGAACTGTCAATTTCATTTTTATGATTTAAAGTTAAATAATTTAATGCTGTCTTTGATTAAAAGTTCAACAATCGTTCGCAAAGACTATTGCATTTAAGAACTATTTCTTGCCAGAGCATGCACGAAGTTATAGCGAAAGGCCAATGAAGTATCGAAATTTATTAAGGTTCCAATTTTCATCGTGAAATTCTAGCCACATCCCATAAAATTTTTCAAAATCTGTGCTATATGTGAAAATTTACATCCTTTTATTCACTGTGCTCAGAGATGGATTTACGCATAAGGTTAAATAAACTGTAGCATAAAGCCTCGCGTTAAAAAGAGCCTCGTTCTATTAAAAAAAAACAGTTTATATATATATATATATATACATATATATACTGTTTTTTTTTTTTTGTTTAAAGCGTCATTCAGAGGTTTTGATCATTCAAGCATTGGTGGACACTATTAGTACCGGATTTAGACTTTTGTCCCACGCTCCAACATACAAGATACCCTTCCTCCTTCACCAAATAATATTGGGCTATATATATATATATATTGGGATATATATAAGCGTCATTCAGAGGTTTTGAATGATCAAAACCTCTGAATGACGCTTGACTAAAGACTGACCACGTGGGTTTTATTTACGTGTCTAACAACTAAAGCAGGTCCAATTTCTTATAGAAAGTTCTCCTGAATGACACTCCCTTGACAGATCGCTCTCGTATTGCATCAATTCCTCTCATTCATTAAACGGAATATATTATGTAATTACTTAATTAACGGGAAAATGCAAACGTGTCAAACCGATTTAAATGTTTTTACAATAATTAGCGTTGAAATCAAGTAAAATATCTACAATATTCCGTAAATGGTAATTATTAGCGATTATTTTTGCAACAAAGTGGAATTTTGAGATAAATTTAAAATGTGCGCAACGAAAGAAATGCACTTGTTATCTCCGCCTTTCAAAATGTCCCGAACTTGCAACAGAACGTTGAAGGCGGAGTAGAGCGAACTGTACACCTATTAACGAGAAAAAGAACAATTACTTTTTTCCTATTTTTTCAGGCTTTAAATCTTTACATCTGTAAATTATTCGCTACAGAACTCGAACTTATGATCTACGTATGTTTCTTATATTTGATAAACTTCCATATACCTTTACCGGACATCCCTTCGACACAACGAAAAAACCACCGCAACTAAATCCCAGTTCGTTTTCTCGAAATTTTTTCATGAAATCCAACATCTAAATAAATATAAATTTTAATAATTAAAAGAAATACGATTATACAAGTACAATTTTATTTATAATTATTGAAAATACAATAAACTTACTTTTATCTTGTCTTCTACCGCCAAACGAGCGGAAGCGAAGATCCTTATTTCTTGAAAAGAATCATAAACCTAAACATAAAATTAAAAAATGTCATTGAAAATATAAAATTGATAACAATTCTTATTCTGCTCAACAGAACTTACGCATGCCGAAATACGGGAAACAGCAAAAGAAAACAACAATGCTAGAAAAACGCAAAAAATGGTAGCGAGACATAATAATAGCCGAAAAATTATATCCAGTTCGCCGAAAATAGCATTGTAAACAAAAAACGCTAAGATATAAATTATTATGCCAAATAAAACGAAAAATAGCTCCTTCCATTTATTATTCATCTGATTTATAAGATTATAAATCTCTGCATGCTTCCAGATGATTTCGTCCACGTCATACTTTGCGCATCTATTTCTGGTTAATTGGAATTGTTTCGCTAACTCTTTGAATCTCTCCAGTATCAGAAGGCCTATCGTTAACGATGCCGGTATCATCCAACAATAAAATGCTACTACGTAAGAACTAAGTACAGTAAACGAAACAGAGCAAAAAAGTGCGCGAGAAGAACTCGAATCTTTCTCTACTACCCGATAGAAAACAAGCGAAGACAGCAAAGCCATAAAAATTAAAATTACGAGAAAAGACAGACCGAAAAACCCTAACATTACCAATTGATACCAAAACAATTTTCCCTTCTCACCGGCGTAACTCGATATTTTCATGTCAAAGCTTATCTTTTTCCTACCGATATGTATGCAAAGCATGCAACCAATATTAATGAAATAAAAGGCCATTTTCAGAAAAGGATGCATTTCTCTACCGTTATATCTTTCAATAGGACTACAGAAAACGACATTCTCTTTAGTTGCAAGATTCTGAAGGACAAATACAATTGTTTGAGAAACCAAGAATATCAGAATGGATTTCCTGTAAAATTCTATTATTTTTGATTGCCTGGCGTTCAACTGGTGACAATCGCAGCGTTTGTAATAAATATCGCCAAAAAGTATAGAAATAGAGATTATGGGATAAAGCATACAATAAACACAATTCTCCGCCATATTGCGTCTAACTAGAAATAATGGAGCTTATTACTCTACAGCATTTCTAAATTATTACTCTAATGCTGTTTTCTAGAAACAGCAACGATTTTCTCTTCTTCTTCCGCGTGTATTCGCTTGTATGAGAATGAAAATAAGCGAAATTACTCATCTATGCTATGTGCAGAATTTTATGATCGGAATGCAATCGATCAATATCAGTTCAATTTGAAACGAGTTTATTTCTGCGAATGAATGCTTTTATATTTATACTTATAAATAATGGAATTCGATTCCTTTTTTTAATAATAGATAAGTTGTTATTAGATTGGACTGGCTTGAATCGATTGAATTAAGGAAATGCAACACTTGGGCGATCTGCAAAGGAGGAGAGTCTCCCTGCAGGGCTTTCTTGGAAAAAACTGGACCTTATTTAGCTGTTTTTATGGGAAACTGGACCCTGTGTAGGTGTTAAACACGCGAAGAAAACCCGGATAATTCCACATAACCGACCCGTTTGTGAGGCGTGACCCGCGACTTGTATCCAGAGATTTATATACTCGTCCACTGGGTAACCAAATTAAACAAAACCTGTCTTTGAAATGTCAACAATAAAAAGAATAAAAACTCTGATTTTGTTATTTTATTGATTTTTACTTGTAAAACAATCGCGATCATTTAATAATAATAATATTGATAATCAAGAATGTTGATATTTATTTACAAGATACTCGAGGTATTTATCGATATTTATACAAGATATTATATAATTTTGCAAAAGTGTATTAAATCACACGGTTTATTTCTTTATATGATTGTGATATTCGAAATATCTTATTATCGTTATATAAATAGAAATTTTATATAATGCATTTAATAATTTCTTAATTACAAGATCTTATTTAACGAAACGTTTCGGAGTATCAAAGAATTTAACTTAAAATAATTATCGTATTTACTCGAATATAAGACGATCTCGCATATAGGACGAGGTGTGACTTTAAAGCAAGGCTGTGGAGTCGCGTAAAAATCTACTGACTCCAACTCCGACTTTTCCTTAGCATCCGACTCCGACTATGGGCGGACTTGTTACCGAAAGAGACCCGGAAATTCTGATGTTATCACGTGACCTCAGAATAAAAGATTCAATAAATAGAGTTTTAATAAAGATAGAGCTTAGAAACTTTTTATTCCAAAGCTAAAAGACTTCTGTAAGTAATATATAAATACGTATTTGATAATTTTTACTTTTCCGGCTGTTACATATAACAGAGGAAATGTGTAGCGCTCGGTCAAAAAATGACCCCTCCCAAATTTTTAATTTTTGGACTCGGGACACCTTGAAATTTCGATATATGCAAAAGGTTCGAGGTTTTTTCTATATGTGTGGATGTTAGACTGTGGGAGGGGGGCATGATTTCGTTCACCCTGTTTGAAGCCTAATAATTTCTGTGGTCAGAGTGGTCGGAATCGGAGTCGGATGGTTTAACACAGGAGTTAGTTATTAAGCGTTGAAGTGGTTGAACTAAATAGTGTCTCCATATACATTCTAACATCTTAGGCGAGAACATCTTAACGGGTTTTACTGTACTATTATAAAATGGCTTAAAAGCTTACTTTGAGGGTAGAGACGGGTTTTATTTTAATTTTTTTAAAATTTTGAATGCTAATAACGAGTAAAATATTCATTAAGAGATGTGACACATGACCACTTTTAGGTCTTCACCCTGTCGACCTTTAATTAAGCACCAAAATTTAATAGTATTAATGCCCCCTTTATACGCGAGCTACAGTGCCACATTTGGTTTCTTAAACTTTACCCATTCTGAGATATTGTTTAATATCTCAGAACAGACAATAAAGAAATTAAACAAATTAGATGTCAATACGCACACACGCGCGCGAATTTTTCCCCTTTACTAACTTTTTTGAGGGGTTCGGGAGGTCTCAAAACGTGTAGATTTGCAAAAAAAAACTTGGAGGGTCAAATTTGCCACGATTCCAATACTTTTTCGTTTTATATACATAACAAGTTGGTAAGTAAACAGGAGTCGGAGTCGGCGGATTTTTGACGACTCCGGCTAAAACACCAAAACTCCAGACTCCGACTCCACAGCCCTGCTTTAAAGACCAAAATAAAGAAAATTAGATTTATTAGTACAATTCTAACTTTATTTCGTTTAATCACAAGTAAACTATCAAATTCACGTAAATGCAAAAATTACTAGCATTTTACACTTTAAGAAAAAAATCTTGTAAAATCGACAATCTAATTTACTACTCTAATGCTGTTTTCTAGAAACAGCAACGATTTTCCCTTCTCCTTCCACGTGTATTCGCTTATATCACAACGCAAATAAGCGAAATAGGTTTACTCATCTATGCGCTGTGCAGAATTTTATGATCGCAATGCAATCGATCAATATCAATTCGATTTGAAACGAGCTTGTTTTTGCGAATGAATGCTTTTATATTTATACTTATAAATAATGGAATTCGATTCGGTTTTTAATAATAGATAAGATGTTATTAGATTGGAGGAGTTTGAATCGATTGAATTAAGGAAATGCAAGACTTCGGCGATCTGCCAAAGGAAAAGAGCTTTCCTGTAGGGCTTTCTTGGAAAAAACTGGACCCTATTTAGCTGTTTTTATGGGAAACTGGACCCTGTGTAGGTGTTAAACACGCGAAGAAAACCCGGATAATTCCACGTGACGGGCCCGTTGGTGAGGCGTGAAACTGCGACTATTATATCTGTGAGGCCAGCCGATTAGGGGTGAGGTGTTTTCGACAGCCGAGCGGTTAATTCTGTCGTGTGGGCGCGGAATGACTCACCGAGACAGGTTTACCATATAAAACCGTTTAATAATATACATAAATCGTTCTTACAACAATCTAATGCGGGCAAGAGCTTATCCCACGATGGGTTTCTGTCACAGTTCCTAAAAATCGGACAGTTCGATTGTTCGATTGGTCCTTGGGGAGCTTTCGGCACTGTGGACGCAGAGAACGATGGCTCCGGGGCACGCACCAACACTTGTAGTGATGTCCTCGGTTGACAAGTCGAACCTCGACGATTCTGGACGTGACCTCGGCGATCCTAGAGTGGACGGGTTGGCGAAACCAGTTCCTAGGTCGTCGGAAGAGCCTTCGTTGCGTCTCGGTCGGGAGCACCAAATCCCGACAGGTGAGCACTACACACCAAAACCCAAGACTCCGTAAAGTTCCCGAAAACGCGGTTTTATCGATTTTTCCACCGCGGTCGCCTCTCCATTGGTCTCTCCTCGTCACATGGTGACAATTCGAAACTCCAGGAAGGGCGCGGGAGAGGTCAACGTCGCGTCGGAACACGACTCCTCTCCAACCTCGTTTTCCTCGACTTTACTCTATCTATTGTTTAAAATCTTTTAACAAGACAAAAGGTTCATTGTTTAAATCCGATCTTTAAGTTCGCTCTTTCGCACTACGAAACTTGACTCATTTAAAAAGTCGTTATTGGCCTGCTTTCGGACCCCGTTTGGGTCCTCACATATCTACTCGGCTACTATGTAACCAAATTAAATAAAACCTGTCTTTGAAATCTTTGAAATATTAACAGTAAAAAGAATAAAAACTCTGATTTTATCATTTTATTGATTTTTTACTTGAAAAACAATCGCGATCTTTTAATTTAATCGATTAATAATATAACATTGATAAAAAATTTTGATATTTATATAGAAGATACTCGAGGTATTTATCGATATTTATACAAGAACTTTGCAAAAGTGTATTAAATCACACGGTTTATTACTTTATATGATTGCGATATACGATATATCTTATTATCGTTACATAAATAGAAATTTTATATACAGTACTGCATTTAATTTTTGATTACAAGATCTTATTTAATTAAACATTTCGAAATGAGTTTAAAAGAATTTAACGTAAAATAATAAATAACGCAGAAATATACAGAATTCCATCTTTGCGGACTAAACGTACACTGCTTATTTCTAACACCAAAATTTATTTATTAAAAAACGATTATGCCATCACTCGGATCCATCTTTAATTAGCTGAATTGAACAAGTCTTCAGCTTTATCTTATATTTATGGATATGTCCGAACGCACGACGGGCATGGAAAAAAGATCCTCATAGTGCTCACAGGGCAAAAAAGGAAAAATCATTGATGGCTCGTTGGTGTCTACTTTGGAGGCCCCGAGTTAAAACTACTATTTTACATAACTAATATATATACAGTAAACCCCTCTATAAAACGGGTTCATATAATGCGGTTTCGTATATAACGGCGAAAAAAATGCGACCGTACTCGTAAAAGAAACTCGTAAAATACGGTAAAACGTCATCGCCGACTCGTGTCGCGACAGGATTGGTCGAATTTAGACCAATAGCGGATATTGCACAAACCGTTGAGTTTAAACGAGCAGCGGATCTACTAAAAACCATTTATTATTTAACGTCCATAAAAATTATATTTATATTAACGATGTCTCCAAAGTTCAGCGAATTTTTCGCAGAAAAATAACTTATCAGAAAACATGCGCCCGTCGTTCGGTGCGCCGCTCCACGACGAAAACAAGCTTCAGCAACGGCGGAGTCGAACGGTGCACGCTCGGTAAGTAATCCTACAATTTTTTGTTTATAACATAGTTTATATGGATTATTCCCAAAAAATTATACGTATTTTGGAAATGTTGAATCGAAGTAGTCTAGAATCGATTAATTTTATGGAATAAAACATTTCAAACAGCCGTAGTCCGTAAACTGCATACGTGCCGGGCTGTGATTGGCTCATGTATTTAATGACTCGTACAACATGAATTTCATAAAAAACGGAACGTATCTACCGTGTTATAGGGGGGTCGACTGTACATATATACATACAAGAGCTTTTGCATGGCTTTTCCTGCACACTGACAGAAAGTTAAGACGACAGGGAAAAAAGTCTGATAATTTTTAACTATAATCAATTCATTAAATCAATAATTCAATCAATTTAAAATATTGTGTGCGGTGCTGTCTGTTATGAAAGGTTTTATAATAAATCATTTTTATATTGTTAATTAATATAAAGAGGAAAATACTTATTTTGGAGTTACAAAACTTATAAATACTGTAGTAGTAATGATAAAATTTTCATTAATTCTTACCCGATCTAGATATGGCACCCTTCTAATTCTCCCTTTATTTATAATCTCCAAAATTTAATAGTAACAATGCCCCACATATAGAAATAATTCTGTCAAGTTTCAAAATACCAGGCAATTTCCGTAGAAAATCCTCCGGGAAGGATTCGAAACTTCGGTCGGATCGTAGCTGAACGGGTAAAAATTACTGAATACAGGTTGTTGATCACAGGTTCGATCCTCGCCAAGTATGGCCACTTATTTTTAAACTCTTTTCTCCCTGTTGGCATTAAGAGATCTTTTAGCAATTCCAGGTCCTCCAGAGCGGTAGGCTTCACCCTGACCGCTTTTTTATCACCTCGAAGAAGAAATCTTTCTGGGATTTCTAGTATGAAGACAAGTGTAAACCCCGATGGAATTGATAATCGGCCTGACACCAATTGAAACGAGTTAATGAAAGGAATTTCGGTGAAGTCCGGTGGTCTCAGGTGTGGTCTAGGAATTAAATGGGTGTCGCCTCGACTAGTTTTCTGTGGGTTGAAGTTTACTATCTGGGACCATCATGGCCGCCCTTCCGGTTGAGTGTACTCTCGCTCCTAACGACGTCCGTCGTAAGCGATGCGCGATCACCTGACTACCCTATCTAACGCGTTCACGTGATAAACTAAACTAACTTATTCTAATATACTATCAAGTGCAACTACAGATTTAAGACTAGAAATATAAATAAAGGTTAATGTCCAGGGTCGTAGACCATCATGGCGGCTCTTCCTGTTTTAGCCTCGAAACCGGACCGCTTTGTAGACGACGTGTCACGTGACGACGCGAGCGAACGACGGCGGCGGCTGTCATGGCGCCGGCGCTGATTCCAGCAAACAAAAGCAAACAGTGGGGACGCACGTTCTAACCTAACCTATTCTAATAAATTATCATAATTATATTATTAGAATAGGTTAGGTTAGAACGTGCGTCCCCACTGCTTTTGTTTGCCGCGGCGCAGCAGCCGCCGCCGTTCGCTCGCGTAGCTGCCACCGTTCGCTCGCGTCGTCACGTGACACGTCGTCTCCAAAGCGGTCCGGTTTCGAGGCTAAAACAGGAAGAGCCGCCATGATGGTCTAGGACCCTGGACATTAACCTAAATAAATAAAACTATAAATAAAAATTTGCAATCATCGAAATAGGTTGTATTTTTTTGACTGGAGTCCTGCGAACCCATAACTACTTATAAATAAAAATTGAATCAATTAAACATTACTCACCATTAATATCCTTCATTCATCAACTGTAATCCGCTTTCTAGAACCAATTTCAGATTCACGAACGTTGGTTACGACGTTCTGCTTCTTTAATTTCTTCGATTTTTCTTCAGTGCAATTGTCACCCTTCTTCCTCTTAGCCACCATTAACGTAACACACGAAACATTTCTTCTCCTCCCTACAAATACCACCTACAATTCATTTCGTACCTTTCAATTGCCGACCTTTCTTATATTTCCTTTTGCAAACCACAGTCTCATCTATCTCTCTACGGTCTTTCAATTTTCATATCACTTAAATGTAATTTGACTAATCTTTTACTTTATATGAATTTCAACGAACAACACAGGTTAGATGCCATATAAAGGAAAGAATACTTGACCAGGATAAATTGCCACATTTTCCTTTAAATGTCCCTTCATAAGCAGACAATTTAAAGTTACATTTCCGGCATCGAAAATTAACATAGTTTGCATCACTTCTGAAACAAATTTTACACTTGCCATTACATTTAACAGTTTCGGCTGTTTGAAGGCCTAGTTTAATAGCAAATTTTACATCTGATGGAATTCTTACATCGAGACATAATTCGGAAAAATCAGATAACAAATAACGAATGAAATCCACAGTGGTCCAGTTCTTAAATTCCATTATCGAAAAAAACAAATTAATAACTAAACTCAATCAAATAAACTCGACAGTAAATTTAACGACTCACACACCTACCACCCGCACGAAACAAATTTGCATAATTTCTCACAAGTACACATTTACGTCGTAAGATAGCCTATTTGCATATATACACACAATGTCACCGGCGCCGCCTACTGACCATTTTTAATCGCGCCTTTGCTAGAGATTCCGGAAGGGTGGCCATTGATTGTCCCAGATAGTAAACTTCAACCAAATTTAGATTTCAGAAATGAAAGATGACGGCAAATTCGTTGGTTGTTTTTACGAATACTGAACGCAGCACATTGCCAATCTACCATGGAGATACTTGCGGGAGGACATTCTATGGAAAAGTGGATTCCCCTATTTAGATGTCAACCTATGGGCAGAAAGGGCAATTGCCCGGTGCTCCCACCAACAAAGAAAGACAATCTTTTATAAAATAATATTTCGCCTCAAAAATTATCACGAAGAAAAATGTACGAAGTCAACGCTGTACATGGGGCCCCCTAATTCAAATTTATCGGAGACCAAGAAGGTATAACGGGATTGACGGTCGGACGGCCGAGCGGTCAAGGTGGTAGTCTATCGCTCTGGAGGAATCAAGATCAAATCCAAACGGGTGAAAAATCCCCAAGAATTTTTCGGGGAGTGATTCCTACGGTTAAGTCGGCCCCGTCTCTATTGTGGCCTGGCTGAACCCATAATGCGCTTGCAAAAACAGGCCCTCTTAATGCCCACAGGAAGAAGAGTTTGAAAAACTGGTCAACTATTTGGCGAGGATCGAACCTGTGATCAATAACCGGTTTACAGTAGGTCCACCCATTCAGCAACGAACCGACCGAAATTTTGTATCCTTCCCGTAGGATTTTCTACGGGAAATTGGCTGGTATTTTGACACTTGAAGAGATTATTTCTATATATGGAGTATTGTTACTATTAAATTTTGAAGATTATAAGTAAAGGGAGAGATAGAGGGGTGGCATATGCCATATCTAGAGCGGGTCAGAATTAATGAAAATTTTATCATTACTAGCATTTATAATTTTTGAAAAACTTGCTCCTATCCAAAATAAATCTTTTTTTTTTTATAATAATAGCAATATAAAAACGATTTATTATAAAATCTTTTATAACAGACAGCGCCACACATAATTTTTTAAATTGATTGAATTATTGATTTAACGAATTGAATATAGTTAAAAGTTATCAGACTTTCTTCCCGGTCTTCTTAACTTTCCGTAAGTGCGCAGGAAAAGCCATGTAGAAGCTCTGGTATGTGTATATGTATATGTATTAGTTACGTAAAATAGTAGTAGTAACTCAGGGCCAGGGCCGTGCGGTAGATTTTCTAAGTATAATGCAAGTCTTCAAAATGCCGCCCCTTATAAGGTTTTTTCCCGCTCCTTATATAAATTATTAGTCTTATATAGGCTATAATTCTTATTATTTGGTGTATCTTACTAGGGCTGTGCGGTAGATTTTCTAAATATGATGCAAGTCTTTGAAATTCTGCCCCTTAAATGTTTTTTATGCCGCCCCCTCACGGTGCCGCCTGTTGCGGCCGCATCTCTGCATCATAGCACGGCACGGCCCTGAGTCAGGGCCCCAAAGTAGACACCAACGAGCTATCAATGATTTTATTTTTTCTTTTTGCCCTGTGAGCACTATAAGGGTTTTTTTTCCATACCCGTCGTGTGTTCGGACATTTCCATAAATATAAGATAAAGCTGAGGAATTGTTCAATTCAACTACAGTAGAGCCTCGATTATCCGACCCCTGATTAACGGACACCTCGGTTAATCGACTGTCCTAGTCGGCAAATTTCAAATGTTTGCTAGTGATGTGGCGCTACAATATTTGGCTATGTCTTGGCTACTTTAATAATATTTTTACGTGTTTTAGCTGGCAACACTCATTCGACCATGAAAGGGAGCCAGTATTTAAACGAGGCTTAATTTTCTAATTTTTAACGATACAATAGCGACGATTATTATTTTAAAAAATTTTTGTTAGGCTTAACATCGATGAAAATTCAACGC